GGTCGGTATATGTAATTACGAACCGTAACAGGCCATTCCTCGCCACTTTAGCTTCGCGTAATCTTGTGATTATTAGTTAAACGCGAATATCGCTTTAAGCAAAATGCGGATGGCGGCGTTTAATCCTTGTGCAATCCAGATGTACCTTCCGGGCACAGACAACGTCGAGCGTTGCGGTTCAAGCGAGCGTCTACGAGACGCGTGCCGCGCAACGTGCTACGTTCAAAACATTAACGTTAAACTCGAGGATTAACAATGTGGAAAACAAACCGAGCTCGCCCAAAACAAATGCGAGCAAAAACATGAATCGTTCCGCCCTCTTCGGTGGCGGGAAAAAAACGGAATCGAAATTCTTTCTTTAATAAAAAGTTCTCGTCGAAACGATGTTTTACCTCCGCAGATATTGCAGTCTCAGTTGGCGTCGGCGCCCGACAGCGGAACGTTGCTCGGTGACGAGGCTTTGGATGGTTCCGGTAGCGGCGATCGGCCTATATGGAAGAAGAAGAACAAAGATGGGGACATCGATAACGACGACGAGGACGTGCACAGTTACGATCACGATGACGAGGAGGCGTCTGGATCCGGAATGGGACCCACTACACCTGGTAAAAACGATTCGAAATTTCCGAATATTTCTGCCCTCTTTTCTTTTTTTTTTCGAATATAATTACAATCTTGTTTGTTTCATCGTGTGCGTTCAAAAGTATTTGATTGGAAGCGATGATTCGAAAATTTTTTTACTTGAAATTTATTAAGTTGAATTAATTAATTTAACAATTTATTATTTTATTATTATCAATTTATTATATTATTTTTATCGATTTATTAACGAGATTAAATTTCTCAACTTCCTCCCAATTACATTTACACCAAACACTTGCATTTTATCATTTTAAAAAAAATTATTTCCCGAGAACAAATGAGAAAATTGTACGCGTTCGTTAATTACAGATCCTATGCTGAAGACGAATCACGAGAATCCAGTGACGGCCGGCGCTGGATCGAGCATCATCCTGCTTTCGTCCATCGTTTCGATGGCGATTGGCTGTTGTGCACCGTTGTTGATCGCTTAAGTTGCGGAGCGTGGACGTGGAAAGAAGGGAACGATTCGTTTCTCGATTCGTAGCCGCGACCTAGAATAACACGTAGAGAAAGAGAGAGAGAGAGAGAGAGAGAGAGAGAGAGAGAGAGAGAGAGAGAGAGAGAGAGCGAGAGAGCGATTTTTGGTGCCCGCGTCGGGGAATAGGATGATCCTACTCGACACGAGGGATGGATCGATCCGAATCTTACGAAATCTGCTTTATAGTTTATATATCGTGCCGCCTGACCGGGACAAAGCGAGCTGCAAGCAAAATTGTCCGGGAATTAAATATAACGGGGGATTAATCTGTTTCGTTGTTCGTGACTCGAAGAATCGAATGCATGCCTATCGATCGATCGATCGACCTATCTGTTCGATCGATCGAACGAACGAACGAACGAATCAAGACTGTGTTTTTTTATTCCAAGTTTGAGAGGGAGAGAGAGAAAGAGAGAGAAAGAGAGAGAGAGAGAGAGAGAGAGAGTGAACCATTTTTGGACGATCGAGCATACGACGAAGATATTTTTTTCCCAGAGGATCGTTCCACGCATAGAGAAAAAGAAACCATTGAGCTACTAAGTTCTTAGTAACTTAACGTGGTATTGAATAGACGGAAGCGAAAGTGATCACGATGGATCGCGTCCATGTGTTCGAACGATCGAGAATGAAAAATTGGAGAGAAGAACTCGAAGGAACAATGAGGACGTCGCGCGTCTTGTCACTTGGAAAGTGGAGGATACGGAAGAGAAGAATTGTAATTTAGTTAGTGTAGAGCGAAAAATTCTGTGTCCGGAGGGAATTGAAAAATATTCGGGAATGCCGATGCGAAAAATATACGCGGAGATTATTATATCCATATTCCTGTTTTATGATGGCCGACGAGAAATTATTATTATTATTAATTATTATTATTATTATTATTATTAATTATTATTATTATTACTATTATTATTATTATTACAATTATTAATTATTATTATTATTATTATTACGCTGTGAAAAAGTCGAGCAGCGCTATTTTGTTTTATTTCTCGCGGCGAGAACGAAGTTGACCCGTTTTGTATTAAATTGGAGGGGATAATCCACGCACAAGGGACAGTACGGCCTGTGGAAAAATCGAATTGAACGAAGAGGAAGGAAAGACGGAAAAAGAATAGTAATTTTACGATAGACAGAGAGAGAGAGAGAGAGAGAGAGATTAATTACCTTGTACTTTTTTATTTATGCGATATCATAGTGAAAATCATGTTCAAAAAAAAATAAAAAGCGAATTGAGCGAAACACGAGGTAAATATAAACGTACGTTTAATTCGCATAATTCTACGAGAAACAATTATACGAGAAAATTATGTTCAACGAAGAGAGAGAGAGAGAGAGAGAGAGAAAGAGAGCGAAAAATACAGAGACGAGAATCTGGAAGAATGTTTCTTTCTCGCTATAATATCGAAAACGATGAAATGAAAAGGACAAAAACGATATTATTAACTATACTATACTACGAAACAGGATCAAAGATATATCCTTTCCTTTCTGAAAGTACGACGATTCTAACAACAACAACAGCAGCAGCAGCAGCAGCAGCAGCAACGAACAGCAATAATAAGTAAACGCCGCGAAGAGATTTCTCGCTTTTAGCGATTCCAAGTGTATGGTTTCGCGACGAGCGAAGCCTTAAAAAAAAAAGAAAAAAAAAAAAAAAAAAAAAAAAAAACCGTGACTTCGATCCTTGTGCCTCGCGTTTTGCACTGTTCTTCGTCACGCACGAATTGCCTCTCGTTCGCGGTGACGCTTTTTTTGTCGCCGATGCCGATACACGAACTATAATGACGGGTTTAAAATTATTCTCGTCCAGTGATATCGCGTGCGCATGCCATATAACGAAGCTAACTGCCAAAATGCCAGTTGTGCGACCAAAGGTGTTTTTCTTCTCGCTTCGAACGAGGTCGCCACTTTCGCATATATATAATATACAATCGAATACCTTCTTTCGCTCTCGATCGCATCCAAACAATCGTCCAAGGATAAAAATTTTCACGCGAATCTGAAGGAAGGATTCGCGGGATTTTTCTTTTTTTTTTTTTTTTTTTTTTTTTTTTTTT